TTATATATATATATATATATATATATATATAAAGAGCTGAATCTATATATAAAGATTGTTTTGTAACATCTAAGTATTCTATATAGTGGTTAATGATAACTAATTATGAAAAATTTAATTTATTGACGTTAGATCATAATTGTGTTCAATCCAAAAAAAAAAAGAAAAAAAAGAAAGAAAACTTAACAAATTGGCTTCAAACTCCATTTATTTGGAAATTTTTTGGAGCTAAGGGTTGATGTGAAAGGAGCAAGTTATTCTTAATTTGGTCACATATTGGTGCATAATTTTCTTTTTAATCTATTTAAAAAAGAATTACTTCTTTTTTTGGGTAATATTTTAACTTTAATTTTCCATGTGACATGTTTAAGAGCACAAGATTAAATGACAATTTTGTATATTTGACATAACTTTAATCTAGAACCACAAAATTTTTAAAAAAACTTATTTATTTTCTTAAACTTCGTATCATTCAAACTACGTCACGCTTTTTAAAACGAAGGGAGTAGAAGCCTTTAAGCAAACGACACTTGCATTTTGCAATCAGATTGTCTTCTCTTAAACGACATTTGCATTTTGCAATTAGATACAATAACATGTAACAAACATCTATTTTCAAGTATGACATAGAATATAAAAATGTAGCAATAAATTGTATGAAAGAGTAGAAAACCTAAATGAAGCAAACATGAACAAAGTTTTGAAGGGATGGGCAGGAAGAAAGGAAAGAATGGGAGCAAACTACAAATACAGAACAAGATAATTGGGTTAGTTTCAGTTTCAAGGGTCGTCTTGACCATAAAGCTAATAAATCAATCGCTTGGACCTTTAAATTTTTTCTACATATTATGTATTGATAAATTTGAAAAAAAACTTTTTAATTAGTAAAAAATACAATAGTTATTGTTTATTTTATTTAATGTGGAACTCCTTGCAATTATTGAAAAATAGAATAATATTTAGTTAATTGTAAAATCATTTCTAAAGTGATCACCTATTTTGTTGACTTGTTTATATCTTGACAATTATGATGAACCCACATTACTAATTCTTACATTTACCTTTTTTATTTCCCTTTCTATCTTTTACGCTCTCCTTATTGAATATTCTAGTTTCTAAAGTTTATCAAATAGACAAATCTTTGCATTATACAAAATCTATTATTATGTGCTTATAAAAAATCAAAATTATTTTTTGGTGTATTATTAAAATTTCAAGTATTATACGAAATAAATATTATTTTATTATTTACTTATCTTCATTTGTAGAATTATATTAAATATATTATAGTCACTCAATTTACATATGACAATTGACAACTAAAAAGAATAAGGTCTCCCTATAAAATTTAATTTTAGACCCTCCACACTTATTGAGCTCGATCCTAGTTAGGTCTTATGTTTAACCCGCGTGGAAGCTTAATGAGCAAGCGGCTATGTTAATAGGTCACCTCAAAAGGAAAATTATGATTGTACCCTTGGTCGTCCTAGGGAATTCCCTCTTATATAGAATGAGGAAAGAGAACTACAAAAAAATAATTTTGTTATATAAACAAGGCCAAATTCATACATAAATACATGTTCCTGTTGTAAATCTCTCAAAATAGATCCCGTCAATCATATTATATATATCTTTTAGAAAAGAAACCTAGGATTTTGGGACTTTTTTTTTATTAAGTTTGAGACGTCATTTCTTTAATGGCGTTGCAAAAATTTCAAATGATTTTGTTGATTTAAGACATAATTTTCACGAGATATAGTCCTTGTTCTTGAATGAGGGTGCAGTTGCGTTTGTAGCTTGCTTTAACACATGTGTGATATTATACACATAAAATATACATTTTGTTGAGTTTATGGCTTGCCTATAACACATGTTTGATATGTCATATGCATATACATAAGTCGTAACATATACACTTATTGTTTGTTCGATTCAATTATTATTTGAAATCATATTCAGACAAACATTCTAAATAGAGATTAGATATTTAACAAATATCACTAACATTGATTTTTTAATCTGTCACAAATATAATCAAACATTATTACATATATCTCCTCTTATAGAAGTCATACAACATTTTTATAAAAAAATAATTTAGCAATAGTAAACAAGCATAAATAGATACATACATTGTCTATTTTTGCTTGTTTAATAATTGTGAGAATTACTTTTAAGGAGTAACTTGAAGAATTACTTTTCCAACATTGGAGCTACTAAATAGAGATGTTAAACTCTCCAAAAAGCTCTCAATACCATTATAGACTTTGTGCTTAGACTTTATCTTGCCTTCTTTCAACTGAACTTCCATCTCCTTTACAAATTCCTCAAAGTGATTATAATATGAACCAACCATAAATCCTTTCATCATAACTTCTTTACCCACCATGTTCAATAAATTCCAAACTCCTTTTCTTTCTGTCCAAACCTACAAAGTCCACCGATTTGTTTTTATAGATATGTCGAGTCAGTATGTAAGTTCTGAATGGTATATATATATATATATATATATATATATATATATATATATATATATATAAAATTATGATATATAGTACAAAAATACCTTGTTATACTCTGATATCATTCCACAAAGTACAATATGAGCTCCATGGTTGACGTGATTAAGGACAACCTCATTGTCAAAATATACATAAATTCCATCCGGAAAATATCTATAAGAAAATAACGTAAATTTTAAGTCATAGCAAGTATTATTAACCCAAAATGAGGAGAAAAAAGTCTATAAAAATAAAAATAGTTTACTTGGTTAATGCAGCATCATAATCTGTCTGTATAAGGTAATTAAAATTTTCATCATACCGACACTCTTCTTTCAACAACTTCAACAACATACAAATTTGAAATAAAAAATAGAGAAATTTTGATAGAAATAAGAGCAAAAATAAATAGTACAGAGAATGAGGTGAAGCAGCTTCCATCGCTTGAAGCTTCTGATAAGGGAGAGAGTTGCAGTGCTGCAGTGGCTGTTGAGATTTTAGGATTTGACACGTTTCATCGGATATGAAAAGACTAAATTTTATACCATTAAACTAACACGTTGATATAAATATGTTAACTAACATTTCTATAATAGTAGAAATATTAATAGCTACATGTCTCGCTTAAAAACCCTATAAATGTGCATCACTCATCAGTTTGTTGATTCATACTTTATCAACGTTCTAATGTGCTATCTGATAGAATATGATAGAATCGATAATTCATGTTTTGATGATAGACAAGAAGCGCAAATAATCAGTAGCAAATGTACGCAGCAAAAGAAGCCAAGCTCGAGTCCAAGATTGAGTAAAATGGGTCAGCCAAGTAATCAAGAAAATAGAGTTATTTGTCAAAGCCAAAAATAATATATTAAAGGTATAAGTTGATACAAATAAGGAAAACCTTAAATATATTATTAAGGAAGGAAGTTGTATATAATAAGGATTGTACTTTAAAAGGGAATCCTTGTTTAACAATAACTGCCTTACCTTATCTGATAATGATTTAAGGCAAAAGAAACTCTATAAGAAAAGGACGATGCTGATGAAGAATCCCACGACTTCACATAGAGAGAAATGTGAGAATTATTCATCAAACTGAAGTCTTCAAGATCGATAGGTTTGCTACGTTTAAAACGTTCTTGAGTGAGAAGGTTTTTAACGTGTAGAACTATCTTCTTGTTCTGTTCTTGATTGTAATTTACAGTTTATTGTACAAAGGGTGGGTTTGGCTCTTCGTAGGGTTGAGTTTCTGTGAGGATTGTAGCAAAAGGTGGGTTTGGCCTTTTGGAGAGATCGATTGTAGTCAATCGAGAGAGGTAGTAGAGATAAGGCTTTTTGATTATTGAGTTATAATCACAAAATCTTATAGTTGAATAAATAAAACGAGGTTTTTCCTTCCTTGAGTGAGGAAGGTTTTTAATTTAATAAGTGTTTGTGTTCTTTACTTAAAAACAACTTACAAGAACCTGGTTCTTGTTCTGGGGAAAGGTTTCTTCAGTTGGTATTAGAGCAGGTCTTTTCGATAAAAGATTCACACCTTGAAATGACTCAATGGCAGCACCACCTACCCCACAAGAAGGAGCTTCACAAACACGACCACCTCTGTTCAATGACAAATATTATGGATGGTGGAAAAATCGTATGATGGACCATCTTATTGGTGAAAACCCTGATCTATAGGGAGTAATTCTAGATGACCCAACCATACCTATGAAAACCGCAACTGATGGAATCACTAAAATCCCAAAGGAAAGAAAAGAATGGAATGCTGAAGACAAGCTTGCAATTCAAAACAATGCCAAAGCCAATAAAATTCTGATCTGTGGCATAGGACCAGAGGAATACAATCGAATCTCGTCTTGTCAAGATGCCAAAGCAATATGGGAAACACTACAAACCGCTCAGGAGGGAACAACGCAAGTCAAGAAGTGTAAAATTGATAACTTGAACAGGTAATATGAGTTGTTCAGGATGGCAGAAGGGGAGACTATTCAAGACATGCACACCAGGTTCACCTCCATCATTAATGAGATGTACTCCTTAGGAGAGATAGTTCCTAATGGAAAGGCAGTAAGGAAACTCTTGAGTGTCCTTCCTGAAACTTGGGATAGCAAAGTCGAGGCTATCACTGAAGCCCGCGACCTAGACTCACTGGCCATGGATGAGTTAATTGGTAATCTCATCACAAACGAACTCAAGAAAAACCAAGAAAAGAAAATTGGAGGAAAAAGAAAGGAAAGGAACCTGGTTCTAAAGGCTACTACATCAGATGATTTTGAAGATGAAAATATTGCCCTCATAACCAAAAGGTTCACCAGAATGCTAAAGAGAGGGCAGGACTTTCAAAAGAAAACTTCTCAAAGACCATCTGAAAACACTAAAGACCAGGTTTGTCATAAGTGTGGAAGCCCAGATCACTTCATCAAATTCTGTCCACTTTGGGCTTTAGAGAAGAAAAAGGCAAACTTTGAGAAGGGAAAAGACATCAAAAAGGATAAGTTTGTCCCCTCAAATAGAAGAATGACAACTCAAGAGGCAGATATTTCAATGAAGAGGGCCTTTGCAGCAATGGGGAATTCATCTAATGAAGAGTCTGAGGGTGATGAGACAGAAAAAAAGTCTCTTCTTGCACTAGAACAAGAAGATGATTATGACTTTCTTGCTCTTGTAGAAGTGGAAACCAAGGAAGAAAAGGAAACCTGCAGATCACAGGAAACCATACTAGCACTTATGGCTGGATCAGATTCTGAAGAGGATAAAGAAGAAGAAGATATGAATGAAAAGGTTAGTCTTCATCACATACAAGACAATCTAAACTCATACTCAAAAAGGGAGCTAGAATCTTTACTCTACACTCTCATTGATGCATATAAAATCAAAGACTCAAAAAGGGAATTGATAATGGAAGACTATGCATCTCTAAGATAAGAAAACAAGATTCTTGAAAAACAAAATCTTCATCTTCTATCCAAGAATACTGAACTAAGTAAAAACCTAGACTTGGTAACCAAAAGGAATGAAGCACTCTCCAAAGAACTTCTTGTGACTAAAACTGAAGCAAAAAATGGAATGAGATGGACCAGGTCCTCCATACAGCTTGACAACATTCACAAGAATCACACATCTGAGAGACATGGGATAGGTTTTGATAGAACTAGCTCTCAAGTAAAAAATCCCAACATCGATTGTCTATGCATGCACTGTGGGCTGGTGGGGCATAAAAGTCATGATTTTCAAAGAAAACAAACTGCTCATTACAAAAACTTGAAATCTGTGAGAAAACCGCATCATGAGAAACTCAATGAGCAAAAACAAATTCCTACAGTCAAATCTCTTCCTAGATGGGCCAGAAGAAGTCTTATCCATCCATTCCCTAAGCATAAATCAAAGTGGATTTGGATTCCAAAATCTAATCCCCAAAATTAAATTGCAGGGATCAGTGAAGAGGAAGCAACAATAATGGTACTTGGATAGTGCATTCTCCAGACACATGACTGGAGATAAAAGAAGCTTCCTCTCACTCAAGAACATCAAAGGAGGAAACGTTGCCTTTGGTAATGGAAAAAGTGGTGAAATTCAGGGAATTGGAAAGGTTGGATCAATGGATACTCATGCAATTAAGAACGTATACAACATAATCTATTGAGCGTATCTCAAATATGCGATAAAGGAAACAATGTTCTCTTTAGAGAAAAGAAATGCAGAGTAACAAACTCAGTGACTGGGAACCTGGTTCTACTAGGTAAGAGACACAAGAATGTGTACAAAGCCAAGATTGTTGACTCCAAGGAAGATACTCTTAAATGTTTAACTGCAGTATCTGATTGCTCCATACACAAAAGAATGGGACACATTAGCATGACAACTATAAACAAGCTCATATCTAAAGACCTTGTTAGGGGACTGCCAACCAAAAGTTTCAAGGACAACCAAGTATGTGGAACCTGCATTCAAGGAAAACAGGTTAGGTCATCCTTCAAACCAAAGTTGACAGTAAGTACTACCAAGCCACTAGAACTGCTTCACATGGATTTGTGTGGACCAATGCGTGTACAAAGCAGGGGTGGAAAAAGATATGTGTTTGTAATAGTTGATGACTACTCAAGATTCACTTTGACATTGTTTCTTGCAACAAAGGATGAGACATTCACTATGTTTGAAATCTTTGCAAAGCTGGTTCAGAAGAAGTTCAACAAAGAAATAATCAGCATCAGATCTGATCATGGGCTGGAGTTTGAGAACTCATAATTCCTACAATTCTGTACCACAAATGGGATTGAGCATAACTTCTCAGCACCTAGAACACCACAACAAAATGGTGTTGTTGAGAGGAAAAATAGAACACTGGAAGATATTGCAAGAACAATGTTAATCTCAAGCAAATTTCCAATATTCTATTGCGCTGAAGCAGTGAACACAGGGTGTTATCTAATAAATAGATGTATGATCAGATCAGTGTTAAACAAAACACCATATGAGCTGCTAAAAGGAAGAAAACCTTTAGCACATCTTAGGTCCTTTGGGTGTGTATGTTTTATACACAACAATGACAAAGACAATTTGGGAAAATTTGATGCTAAGAGTGATGAAGGAATATTTCTGGGCTACTCATCACAAAGCAAGGCCTACAAGGTACTGAATAAAAGAACAAACCGTGTAGAAGAAAGTGTCCATGTTGTCTTTAATGAAAATAGTAGTGAAGTTGAAGGAAATTCAGAGGATGAACAGAATGAGGGAACCTGCTCCAAGCCATTAGAACAAAAAATATGGGAAAAAGAATCTATACCCTCTGATAAAACATCTGAAATAGGAGATAAGTCTACTAATGAAACTGGTTCATCTGCACCTCAAGAGCCAGTAAGTATTCCAACTCACAGTTGGAAACATCAAAGCTCTCACCTTTTGCAAAACATTCTAACTCCTCTTAACTCAGGCATATCTACAAGATCCAAATTACGTAGTATGTGTGCATTTTCTGCCTATGTGTCCCTGATTGAGCCTAAAAATATAAAGGAAGCACTGCTAGACTCTGATTGGATTAGTGCCATGCAAGAAGAACTCAACCAGTTTGAAAGAAGCAGAGTGTGGAACCTGGTTCCAAAACCTCAAAACAGGACGGTAATAGGAACTAGGTGGGTGTTTAGAAACAAGCTCGATGAGCAAGGACAAATAGTGCTCAACAAAGCTAGGCTAGTTGTACAGGGATACAACAAAAAGAAGGTATAGACTATGATGAAACCTTTGCACCAGTAGCAAGAATTGAGGAAATTAGAATATTGGTCGCATATGCTGCTCACATGGAGTTCAAACTCTACCAAATGGATGTCAAAAGTGCCTTCTTAAATGGTTACCTACAAGAA